CATTTTAGGTGAAAAGATGTGCAAATACTTTTTTCAACAATAAGGGAATTATTTAAATTCAAGTAGGCCTATATTAACATATACAATATATTATTTCTGACATTTTTTTTTATTTCATGGATTTAAGTTATGAATTACAGTATTGCAATACTACTTGGTATCACCATACTTCAGCTGGTATAGTATTGTAACATAAATTAATGGTATCACAACACAACAACCCTATTTCTAACTAGTCCTCAGATGATTATTCAAATGGACAAAATATTCGGACTATTCTTGATCATGCAGTTCTTTGCTGAGAATTTTGTTAAATGTACTTTTAATGCATTAAACGATTTAAAATTACCCTGACACTCAGTATGGAGACAAGGTAACGTAAATAGAACAATTCATGAATATGTTCTATGGCTTGTGCGGTATTGTTCAAAAAGTTTTCTTTGATGTGTAAGTGCAAAACTTACATTTCCACTGCATATCAGCTCACAAACTGGTAGTCTGAAATAAAAAATAAATAAAGGGTATAATTATATTACAAACCAAATATGCCACTCACAATACTCTAATGGTGTGCTACATTTTAAACAACCTTGTAATTGTTCAAATTTATTTGCCCTAAATTGTTAAAAATTAGTTAAACCTTCTTTAAAAATGCAAACTAACAGGTTTGGCAAAGCCTGTTTCTTTACAGAAAGTTTGCTTATAACAAAGGCTTGTTGATGCCTTTGTGTGATATTGAGCAAAGAAAGGGATGTTTCTGTGCTTGGTTGTACGAGTTATACCACTTCATCATTAACGTTATCCATCACACATATTCAGTCGCGTCTGGTCAGATTTATTTGTCATTACAGCAATACAAAACACTCAATAACGTAACGGCAACACTGGAATAAACCTTCAAAACGGCATAAAGAAAAGACAAATAGCATATAAAACAAATAAATGAGTTAATTAAATATCTCTCGCATTTTCATAAGTTTAACTTTAAGTTTCATAGGGATTGTTAGCATAAGCACACTTTAGCATCATGTGTAAATATGTATCTGCCTCATACAGTGACACGAATCGTAATCGCATCGAAATCCTAAATTACCTACGACACTCACGGGTCCATTTTGAGCTGAAACTGCTTTATAATGTTCTAAAAGCCTCGGCGGGTTAAAACTGCTGCTGCCCCGGCGATCATGGAGAAAAAAACGACTGGTCTGGTCATGAGCCGCTCGCTGACGCCGGACCGAATCACAGCTGATCTCCTCACCTGCTTCCTGCAGGTGATCTCATAAAAGTAAATCTTAAAAAAAAAAAACACGCATATTTTCGTCACAACAAGCGCCACTAAAGTTCAGCGATAACTAACGTTACTGTATTTGTAATGCGGATAAATAGGTTCCGTTTTCTTTTTTAAAAATGTAGACCTACAGCTATGTGTTAACTTTACATCTATTTGAACGGATCATTGCGCGCGCTCTTGCTCTCTCAGTGCATCATTTAAAATGGCGCGGCCCGCTCTTTTAGAGCATAACGCCCACTTTACAAATTACTACTAACTTTACAAATTATTAATAGTTATTAGAAAGGACTAAGCAGCTAAAAATAGCTTATCTAGTAAAGTAGACAGTATTGCAAATAACGTGCAGTGGTCAAAACGTTTAGTCACAACATCATGGGCTATTAATTAGTTCACAAAACAGCAAACAATTTCACAAAGTGCAGGAAATAAACAGATTACTGATACTATACAAATAAAATCAAAGTAGTAATTAAAACGAAAAGTTTACCTTGATTTACAGCAGTACATCTTCTCAATATGAAATCCTGTCCTTCAATGGCGGTGCTGGGTGGCGGTTGGTTGTGACTCGGGATGGGGGATGGGAAATCACCACCCAGTACGCATGCGTAACAGCATGGCTTAGCCCTTATAAGCAATTTTACTCAAATTACATTAGTTATGGGAACTTTATACCTTACTATGTCAGCAACACTAATGAATTTCTAGTAAACTCAACAATTAGCTTAAAATTAAGTAAACACACTAGAATTTTGATAGTAAGGAATACTATTCGCATTTACAGTGTAATAGTTTTAATAACTTATTTCTAATAACTGATTTATTTTATCTTTGCTATGATGACAGTAAATAATATGTTTTTAAATATTTTTCAAGGCACCTCTATACAGCTTAATGTGACTTTTAAAGGCTTAACTAGGTTATTTAGGTGAACTAGGCAGGTTAGGGTAATTAGGCAAGTTATTGTATAATGATGGTTTAATAATGGAGACTAAAGTTAGTTTAAAGGGGCTAATAATTTTGTCATTAAAATGGTGTTTAAAAAATTAAAAACTGCTTTTATTCTAGCCGAAATAAAACAAATAAGGCTTTCTCATTCTCAAAAAACATTATCACACATGCTGTGAAAATTACCTTGCTTATGGAACGGTGGTCTACCTACCCATTGGATTTTGCTAGTAAGATAAACGTCATCAAAACAAACATATTACCTAGATTACTATACCTATTTCAAGCCCTGCCAATAGAGATACCTAAACATCAGTTTACAATCTGGAACAAACTTATTTCCAGGTTTATTTGGGATGGAAAGAAGCCTAGAATAAGATACACAACACTCCAGTTGTCCAAGCAAAAAGGAGGAATGGCCCTGCCGAATCTCAAAGATTATTTTTACGCAGCTCAGTTCCGTCCACTTTTTCTTTGGTGTAACAACAATTATTTTGCCAGATGGAAAGAAATTGAGACATATACGGAGGGTTATCAGATTCAGTCAATTCTTGGAGAAAAAGAAATCCCTTCGGTAGTCAAAAGTCAATTGGATTCAATAACCTCTGGAGCAGTGGAGTTTTGGTTTGAGTTTGCTAGACAATTTAAATTAAGCAAAGACCAAAAAGTTCTTCGATGGATAGCCTTTGACACTCAATTTAAACCAGGTGAAAGCGACGCCACATTTAAGCAATGGGCAACAAAAGGCATTAGTGCAATATGTACAGTATTGGAAAACAAGGACTTATTTAGGTTTATACAATTCAGAGATTATTTTTACAGAGAAATAAAAATGGAAACGTCACACGAAATTAGTCCAGTTGTAAAGATTATGATGAATGCTTACAAATCAGATAGTAAATGTGCAAAAATAATCTCTAGTTTTTACGTAAGTATTATGGAAAGTAAGACCAACTCAACATTATACCTTAAATCAAGGTGGGAAAAAGAATTGAATGTAGAAATTCTACCAGAGGTATGGTTAGATATGTGCGAAATTCAACATTCCTCCACAAGCTCACAACAACTGAGGGTATTCAATTGGAAGAATTTGGTACGATTCTTTATAACACCTAAAATCAGCAGTAAAGCTTCTTCTACACCCCAGCAATGTTGGAGAGAATGTGGCTGCTTAGAAGCACACCATACACACATTTTTTGGGGATGCGAAAAACTGAAGCCATTTTGGAATGATGTGCACTTAACCTTAACAAAGGTGCTTGGGTATGAGATTCCATTTACATGCATTGTCCTGTACTTGGGTCATATTTCACTGGTTACACTTCAGGAGGATCGATACCTGGTAAAAATACTCCTTACAGCAGCCAGGAAAACCATAACCAGAAGCTGGTATAAGCCTGATTCACCTAAACAACAACAATGGCTTGATGTAATTCAGGAAATAAGGACATTGGAACATATGACTGGTGTGTTACGTTTGAAGGTGGACTTGTATGCCAAAAGATGGCAAAAATGGATAATTTACATTGACAAATCATTAGGGACTGGCTCTCAGACTGTACTCGCTTAAGTTTCAGACATATAAGTCAACTGTGCCTATTCTTATGTACCCAATTGCCTTCTTTTTTGTATAAACCATGTTTTTTTTTTTTTTTTTTTTTTTTTTTTTTTTTTTTTTTTTTTTTTACTTATTTATTTTTCTACAGTATTCTCAACACAGGCTCTGTTTCTATCTTATTTTATTTATTTATCTATTATTGTTTTGTTGTTGTTGTTTTTTTTTTTGTTCTAGTTATTTGCTTGTTATTGAAATGGCTTGTCATATCTGACTCAAATTAGCCTTTTCTACTATTTGTAAAATTGCATTTGATTGTAATCAATTATGACCTACTAAAAAATCAATAAAAATTAAAGTTATAAAAAAGAAAATTACCTTGCTCTGTTAAATATAATATGGCAAATATTTAAAAAAGCAACAAAAATTCGAAGGGGGGGCTAATAATTCTGACTTCAACTGTATATATATATATATATATATATATATATATATATATATATATATATATATATATATATATATATATATATATATATATATATACACACATCATTTCTTTAAAGGGATACTTCACCCAGAAGTTAAATTGACTTACCTACAAGTGGTTCCAAAACCCCCTTTATGAGTATCTTTGCTCTGTTGAACACAAAAGAAGATATTTTGAAGAATGCTAGAAACCTTTTATCATTGACTTTCATAGTAGGAAGGTTTGTGTCAAATGAAATGTGAGTAAATGATGACAGACCTGTCGGTTTTAGGTGTACTATCCCTTTAAGAAGTAAACCCACTTGCTTTAATAACATTCATAAATGTATATGTGTGACTGAAGTGTCTGATGCATTTTGAGACTATTGTACTTTTGGACACAAGTACTGTATATTGGGTATTATGTTATTTATAATGTGGTAGCTTGGAGGCAAATACATTTTCTTTTCTTTTGGCTCTTTAATGCATCAGTATTGTCAGTCACACTGCAGGACTTGAATTATATAACGGTTTTGTCTCAGGCACAGCATCCATTAAAGGACATTTTCCTGGAGTGCTTTTTTTTCTCTTCTGAGAGCAGATGGTCCAAATGGGTTTGGAGCTGAGTTAAGGGTGTAATGGGCCTCCAGCTCAGAGTGATTCAAGCCAAGTAAACATCTTCAGGGGCGCCAGTGTACCCTCAGCTGCATAACACATGGCTATCTCTGTTTGCCCCCACAGGGAGACAGCATTACTCTCCTTAAACAAGTCAATGAAAATTGGGTGGAAGGTAAACTCGGAGACAAAGTTGGGATTTTTCCTTTGCAACTCACAGAGGTAAGACAACAGGTTTTAATTTTGGTCACAATTATATGAAGTTTAATTAGTTAATGTATTAACCAGCCTGATCTCACGAGAAAACGTAACTATTTTACTTTTTGCTAGTTTAGTGACTAATTAGTACAAATTTGTACAAGTTCAGTCATACGAAAATGTATAATTTTTAAAATTAGGCATGGCACCCAACCCCACCCCTAAACCCAATCCTCATTGTGGGATAAGCAAATCGTACTAAATTGTACGAATGAAATTGTACGAATTTATACGATCATGTTGGTATTTATTAACATGAACTAACTGAGCAATGTTTGTACTGAATTTATTTATCATATTTGAACATTTACAAATGCATTGTTACTATCCATATTCATGCTTGGTAGCATTGAGTTAACATGAACTAATATGGAACAACTCTGTGTTTTTTTAACTAACAAACAACAACTAACACTAGCACTAAAATATTGTAATAAATGTGTTCTTCATGCCAGTATTTAATTTTTATATAAAAAATATGTCAATTATTTAACCTCAAAAAGTAGTACTAAAAAAAAAAGGATTTTGCTTTTCCCCCTGTTTTTAAATGTGAAAATACAAAAGAAAATTGCTTAATAATAATCACAATTAAACAGTACAACAGTATTCATTCAGTATTTGCATTTATCTGTTTTGTACTTTTAAATCTGATTTACAATTTAAGCAGGGGCTTTCAAACTTTTTATTACATTACATTACATTACATTACATTATATTATATTATAATATATTATATTATATTATATTATATTATGTTACGTTACGTTACGTTATATTATATTATATTATATTATATTATATTATATTATATTATATTATATTATATTATATTATATTATATTATATTATATTATATCGATTTATTTAATGGTTTGTTGGCTGGAGCTTTAAAAGCCACTGTAAGCAAATTAAAGTTGGTGCAAAATTTAACTGTTAGAATTCTATGTGCCCAGTACAATGGGGCACATTACATTTTTCATGAAAAAATTGCCCCGGCTTCCTTTTAGTATTGATTTAAAAAGTCTTTTGCCTACTCATGCAGTAAGGCCTTGAATGTGATGGCTTCTCAATATTGCTCTACTGTATGCTATTCATAAGCTGATCTTTTTAACTGTTTGGTCAACTCTGCTAAAATCTACGACCTTCTCTTCATTGGCTCCTAAAATGTGCAATTCTCTGCCATTTGAAAAAAGGAATGTGGAATCCCTGTGTTTGTTTTAAATCATCCCTTTAAAACAAACCTTTAGGGTAGCTTTTATTATGTTGGCTTTCTATGTTTTTTTTTATTTTTTTTTTTACTATTCTTGTTGCTTGATTTGTTTGTATACATTTAGATTTAAATTTTCATGCAAAGTTAGAGATGCTACTTTTAAAGTGGTATATAAAATAACGTTTTTATTAAATCCTTATTAGGATTATATTTTGTGTGAAGTGAAGCACCGCACTTTAATTTTGAAATCTGATTACTCACACATTATTTTTATATTACTGCATTAACATTCTTTATTTGAATGCTTACAGTACATTGAAAGCCAGTATACAGATAATTTCTTATCATTGCCTATGCATTTTACCACACTCCACTCAATAGACAAATCACACAAAACATCTCAGAAATTTAACTTCATCTCACTCTAATAAAAAATAGTGTTACCTGTACTGTATATACAATAGGGCATAGGTCTCAAACTCAATTCCTGGAGGGCTGCAGCTAATCAAACACAGTTGATCTAACTAATCAAGGTGTTCAAGACTACTAGAGACTATTAAGCAGGTGTGAGTTGGAGCTGGTTGGAGCTAAACTACAGTATGTAGAGCTGCAGCCCTCTAGGAATAGAGTTTGGGACATCTGCCATAGAAACAACAGTAACACAAGTAAACAATGAAGAGTGCTGTTAAATGCAGCATTCATTAGAAGCTAATTTACTTTACATTTAACTGTTTAGTTGTTTAAATGTTATTTTTCACAAGAGGGATATTTTAATGCTTTTTTATTTTAAAATATTTTTTACAAAAGGAAGTTTGAGATCAGACAGCATTTGGCAGACCTCCTGCAGTGCCCCCACAGAACCCCTGTTGAAGACCACTAATTAAAAAAATAATAATTAATGAGAATATCAGGACCTCTGAGGATAGGATGTTTTATTTAATTGCCTTGAAAATAATGTCACCGCCTCAAAACATAGTGGTCTTAAATAGACTCGAGCAAAAATACACGGTCAAAAGTTTGGGGTCAGCAGGATTTTTAAATGTTTTAAAATAAGCTGATCCTCCTCACCAAGACGTTTTGAGCACACAAATCTTTCTCAGACAGTGTACATGGCAATAAGTTGCTCCTATTTGTGCACATCCAGATCACATGATTTCCCATATTATCTCACAAAAAGAAAAATAGTAAAAAATACACAATTATAAATTCTACAGCTTAGATATACAGAAACAAACCCCATATTACATCACAAAATAAAGAAAACAGAACAGAATATAGCAATGAAATACAACAAAATATACAACAAAATATAGCCAAAAGACCTTTACCCAAACACCTAATTAAACATTAAAGAATTATTAAAGAAAAGACGAATATCACTCCTCATTTATACCTCTTGGAGACAATGTATCTAGAGGGAAAGTCCTATAAAGGTCCTAAAAAGGCTTTACGTTGTAACAGCGATTTATTAAAATCTCCCTATCAAAAATACAGTACAATTAGTTAAATTGTAAAATGTCATTGCACTATAAAATAACTATAAATAAGTAGTTTACTAATTAATTTAATTTATTTATTCCAGTGATTTTAAAGATGAATTTTCAGCTTCATTACACCAGTCTTCTGAGTCGCATGATCCTTCAGAAATCACTCTAATGTTATTTAGAATAATAATAATAATAATAATAATAATAATAATAATAATAAAAAAATAATAATAATAATTATTATTATTATTATTATTAGTAGTAGTAGTAGTAGTAGTAGTATTAATAGTAATAAAAGCAACAATGACTGGAGTAATAACTTCATTTGAAAATACATACAGTAAGTAATAAATATTTAATAAATAAGTATTTAGTAATTTAACAATTATTTTTACATGTAATAAATTCCGGCTTGATTCATTCATTCATTTATTTTTTTTTTTCGGCTTAGTCCCATTATTAATCTGGGGTCACCATAGTGAAATGAACCGCCAATTTATCCAGCATGTGTTTTACACAGCAGATGCCTTTTCAGCTGCAACCCATCACTGGGAAACATCCATACACACTCATTCACACACATACACTACAGACAATTTAGCACACCCAATTCACCTATACCGCATGTTTTTGAACTGTGTGAGAAAGTATGGGGAGACCATACAAACTTTACACAGAAATGCCAATTGACCCAGCCGAGGCTTCAGCCAGCGACATTCTTGCTGTGAGGCCATTGTGCTACCCACTGCGCTGACATGCCGCCTTGATGAACAGAACAATGTTCTTTTAAAATAACCTGGGTTGTTGACATTTTGCTCTTCCAAAGCAATTATGCAATAATAATTTAAAGCGATATCACTCGTAAATCACACTTATGCTTCATGATGTAAAATCTTCATCACCATTCGTCAGTCTTCTGTTTAGTGTCATGATTAAATTCAGAACAATAGGCCCTCGTCTCTTTGACTTCTGCCTTTGGTAGCTACTCAGGGAGCGTGATAACAGGCTTTCAGACGAGGTTAGTGAGCTTCCTATCTCTGACGCCGCAATCCTGTGACTGGCATGTGCATTCGCTGCTCCACTGAACTCCATGTGCTGCTGGATAATTAAGCTCCTGATAGGAATGCTTTCCATTATCCACGCGCTGGATTATATCTGAGGTTAGTCTGATTAAACAGCCAGCCTCCCTCGCAGCGCCACTCGGGCATCTCAGCGGTGACCAGTCAGGCGTGAAGGCACAGTAATGCTTTCTTTTACTTTGGTGGCAGAGCAGCACATCATGGGAAAAGGGAGGGGGAACGTCACTCCTGCCCACATGTGCTGCACCAGTCCATCTCAACGCCGCGCTCCTTACATCCACACTCTCAGGAACTTTAAGACGACTAATAGCTTGAGAATAGCACGCTTCTTACTGGCAAACTCTGAGGCGCAGCAGGTAATGTGGCTGACGCAGATGAAAGCCAGCATGCCTTCATTGTGCTTCTCTTTTAACCCATTTTGTGTTTTCCTGCTGTAGCCAAATCCGGCGGCATACGAGCTTCTGGAAAAGCATAAAAGGAGGGACTCAGTGGAAGCGCAGCCAAGGAGCAGCGTTAGGGTCAACGCAGATGCTTGCATCCACAGGCGGCTCACTGGTCCATCTCAGAAGTCATCCAGGCCTTCAAATGTCAATCTCTTGAACAGCCTAAACTGTCCTCCCCTCAGCCTGAGCCAGCAGCCTCCTCACATCAGCTCCAGCGCACAGCCATCCTACAGCAAGACGCCACAACTCGCCACATTTAACAGACCGCGTCTGAGGAGCTCTCGCAGAAACTTGCCTAAGGTGAGCAGAGCATTTGTGTTTTCATGATCACTTTTGTTTGGAGGAATGACGATTGGCTGTTCATTTGGTTACAGACATGTGATTAGTTAGCCATGCATGTCAGTGCGTTGTGCTTTAGCTATATTGGAAGCATATTAAGGATGGTAAATCATGAGCGTGACATGCACTTTGGATGCCTTACGTATGAACAAGAGAGCCGATTGCTTAGAGATTCTAGTTTTTAATGTTTATTTTGTCTGTGATTTGTGATAATCATAATGTGCTCATACAAATGCGTCCATTTGAATCTCAAATAGTAATGGCAGTGATGTAAATTAGACATTTGTTAGTCACACAATGACGTGGAATCACTTATCTTATATCTAATAAGTGTAATTTTCATCCACAAAATGGTTAAATATATTTCTCTCTCTTCTGCAAACATTAGATGTTTTTTTCCTGTATGAGAGGAAGCAAGCTAAAAATGCTTCATTCTCTGTTGCTGCTTTACAAGCTCATGACTCATATAGAGTTACATAAGACTTTCCTCTTATCTGCTTGAAAGGCTCATTCCTCTGCACTGAGCAGCGACTCTCTCTCTCTTTCTCTCTCCTCCTCCTGCCATCAGCTGTTGTCATTAATAGAAGGCGAGGAGAGCATCACTTCATGGGGAAACGAGTCACTCTGACTCCTATTTTGACCTGCCCTGGGGTCAGTTAACACTGGATTTTTTTTGGTGTAATACGTGTTTGTTTTTTTCTTTAGGTTGTGCAACAATGCGTGAAGTCATAGGAAACATGCCCACTGTTTCTGACTCAGCAGTGTCCTTCCAACGCGAAAGAAAACATTTAAAGCAATAGTCCCCCCTCCTTAAAAAATAAATAATGCCATTATTTACTTATCATCAGTGCAAACCCATCTTGAGCTTCACATGAAACGCAAAACAAGATATATTGTAGAATTTCTTGGCTGCTCTATTTCGAAGTGTCTTTAAATGCATAGTACACACTGTAATCACAAATAAGTTGGGAAAACTGAAATAAATGTAGGGTAATCAGTTACGTCAATTTATTTAAGGTATGAAATTTTCAGTTTTAAGTAAATAGAAACATAAAGTTTTGAGTTTGTTGTACTCATGCAAGGTACTTTCTTCAAACTTAAAATACCCAAGTTACCTGCTCATACATTTTAATAGCAATTAACTTAATTTTTGTTATTTCTCCCAAACTTAAATACTGAGTCCAACAACTCATACATTTTGATAGATATGAAATTTTAATAAAAAAATTGACACAAATGAAATTAGCCAAAATTTTTAAATTTTACATCTGCCGATTTCAACTTTTTTTGGTCACAAACAGTCTGTTAGATTTTAAAGTAACATATTACACTAATTCTTTTTAACAGTAACTTTGAAGTTTGTTAGCAACAAGTGGGCCTAAACGAGTTTTCTGTTATGCAACACATTCAAACAATTCTGACCAACTCTACAATACATTTACCTGTTACTGTGTGGTTATATAGAATAAAAAAATTTATTTAGGATTTCTTGGATTTTAAATATTGTACTTACTGTAGTGTGAAGCAAGGCCGATCCACCATCCTGGGAAAAGTAAATGAGGCATGATATCATACTTGAATCTGGATGAATTTAGACGCAAAATCACTTGACTAAAATATTCTGAGTTAATGAAACTTTAAAAAAGACACTTTGTCTAAATTAAAACGGCAAAATTGTTCAGCATACTTGAAAGGTTTTATTTTTACAAACTCAAAAAATAAGAAAAAGTTCTTAATACTCGTCAAGCTTAATAGGATAAACTAATTGTAATTATTTAAGTAATAGAACTCAGTTGGATTAATTAGTTACAGCATTAGGGTTTACAGTGCACCCAAAAATGACAATTTTGTCGTCATTTACTCATCCTCCACTTGTTCAACTGGGTGTCTCTCTTCTGTTGAACACAAAGTAAAAAAAAACTTCAATACTAAATTGCTTTCTTAGATGTCAATGCCCTCATTCTTTGAAAGCATTCTTCAGAATATGTTATGTTTGTTCAACAGAAGAGAGAAATATTTAAAAGTTTAGAACCACTGTGTGGGAGTAAATGTTGAGGAAATTTTCCTTTTTAGATAAAGTATCCTATTAAAATAAGGCATTTCACTTTATGGCCATCTTTGAAACTATTTCAGTCCTTCAAGTGGATCTCACCTCTCTTTGAATGTAAAAAAAAAAAATTATATTATTCAAATTGTTCACCAAGCTTTGGATTAAATTGGAAATTAAAAGCATTTTAAATGTAATCTGACAACATAAAGTTTCCTCATTATGTTTAGAGAGAAAAAAAAAAGCTTGTATTTCAGTTAGGCATGAGACGATAACTGTTTTCAAGATATACCACAGTTTTGGAAAAGTCAAGGTTTTAAACCCCCCCAAATTTTTTTGCTATACTGTTCTTAAAGTATGTGTAAAATTGTTTTATTTATGTTTTTTAACAACAGTTTCTCCAGCAGAAAAGATATCTCCAAACATGCTTTTTAAATTGTCATTAAAAACTGTTTTTGAAACAAATGAGGCAGCAGAAGTCGATAAGTCATCAGAATTATTTAGCCTGACTTGTTTACTGTTCCAAAATATGTTAAAAGTTTCTCAAAGTTAAATAGATTGTGTTAAAAAAAACCCAGATATTTAAAAAGAGTATATTTTACAGCAGTAATCACAATACGTCAAACCGTGATATTTTTATCCAAGGATATCATACCATCAGAATCTTTTACCGACCCATGCCTAATTTCAGTGCAGTTTTAAATGGAACACTTTTTTTCTGTTATAGCAGATGCTTTTTAGTAGTTATTAAGTTACCAGTCAGCCATCGGTTCATTTCTGTAGTAGGTGGCACTATTTCACAATTTATGTCATTTGAGTAAACTATCTTTGTTTTTTTCATACAGATGAAATAAATTAAAACATGTGCTGTACCATCAATGGTTTAGCCAGGACTGTAATGCAAGATCTATTGTCGGCAATTGAATGAAGTGTGAAACACAGGCCACACATCAGTCATTATTAAAATCAATTCAAGCGAATAAACACTGAGAATTTGTGACCTCCTTGAACCAGCTGCAAAATCAGCTAAATTTAAAATTCAAATCACATGGATTTAACCTTACGAAACTTCGCATAAAAGTGAATCCAGTTTCACAGATGATTAGAGGCTATTTAATATGCTGAGAGATTTGAAATGTATCTGTTTTATAAAATCTGTTCTTAATGTAACAGTTTTTGATGGGGTACTCTTAAATATGGCAAGCTACAGTATCTATGGTCTTACTTTAAATTAATCCCAGTACCGCAGGGTTAAGGTTCAGGTAACGGCTGTCCAATGTCCCACTTTGAAGTTAAAGTTGTAAATAATAAAACCAAGCTATTCAATATTATGTGTGAAGTTAGGTCTTCTGTTTTTGGTCATTTAACGGAGCAATTTTCTCATCAAGTACACTCTTTAAAATTACATATTTTTAAATTGCCATTGATAGTTCTGTCAATAATCTATAGACATCTATAGAAACTTTTCATTGGACAGAATTGTCCTAATGGTGGACCAATCTTCTGTAGATCATTAAAATTTGGAACTAACATTTATTTCATTGGCATCACTGTGACTATTCCTTTTTATTTAGCTCAATTTTATTTTATTTTATATTTAAAAAGGCAGCATACATTCTAGTAATCAGTCACCAGTGAGAATTTAAATTTGACACAATCTTACATAATAATAACTGCTGACCTTGCCTTTAAATCCACCTTAACAAAAACTGTTCTTAACCAACAGTGATTTCCACCTTAAAAATGCATGTATGAACAGTATGTATGTATGAACAGTATGTATGTATGTATGTATGTATGTATGTATGTATGTATGTATGTATGTATGTATGTATGTATGTATGTATGTATGTATGTATGTATGTATGTATGTATGTACTGTATGTATGTATGTATGTATTGGCCACTTTATTAGGTACACCTGTCCAACTGCTCCTTAACGTAAATTTTTGATTAGCCAATTAAATGACAGCAACTCAATGCATTTAGGCATGTAGACATGGTCAAGGCAATCTGCTGTAGTTCAAACTGAACATCAGAACAAGGAAGAAAGGTGATTTAGGTGACTTTGAAGATGGCATGGTTGAATTCAGAAACTGCTGATCTACTGGGATTTTCAGGCACAACCATATCTAGGATTTACAGAGAATGACTTCAAAAAAGAAAAAAATATCCAGTGAGTAGCAGTTCTGTGGGCGCAAATGCCTTGCTGATGTCAGAGGAGAATGGCCAGACTGGTTCGAGCTGATAGAAAGGTAACAGTAACTCAAATAACCACTCGTTACAACCAAGGTATGCAAAAGAGCATATCTGAAGACACAACATGTCCAACCTTGAGGCGGATGGGCTACAGCAACAGAAGAACACACCAGGTCCCACTCCTGTTAGCTAAGAATGGAAAACTGAGGCTACAATTCGCAGAGGCTTACAAAAATTGAGTATCGATTTCTGCTGCGACATTTGGATGCTAGGGTCAGAATTTGGTGTCAATAACATGAAGCATGAATCCATCCTGTCTCCAGTTCAGGCTGGTGGTGGTGGTGTAATGGTGTGGGGATATTTTCTTGACACACTTTGGGCCCATTAGTACCAATTGAGCATCGCATCTACGTCACAGCCTGAGAATTGTCTCTGACCTGCTGGCTACTTCCTGCAGGATAACTCACCATCTCATAAAACTCGAATAATCTCAGACCAGATTCTTAAGCATAACAATGAGTTTAAAGTACTTAAATGGCCTTCACAGTCACTAGATCTCAATCCAGTGGAGCACTTTTGAGATGTGTGGAACCGGAGATTTGCATCATGGATGTGCAGCCGACAAATCTGCAGCAACTGCGTCATGCTCTCATGTCAATATGGACCAAAATCTCTGAGGAATATTTTCAGTACTTTATTGAATCTATGCCATGAAGGATTAAGGCAATTCTGAAGGCAAACATGGTTCAATCAGTACAAGTAAGGTATACCTAATAAAGTGGCCGATTAGTGTATGTAAGCATGTACAGGTATGTATGTATTTCATTATTAGAAATGAGAAATTTCATATGAGAAATGTTGAACCCAGGGCACTATTTAAAAAAAAAAATAAGATTAGTTAAGGAAGTAGTTTTACAAGGAATAGTTATTCCAGTCTTTCTATTAATTCTTTTATTACCTTTAAATCCACCTTAACAAAAAGTGCTCTTAACCTAAAATAAATATTGGAATATATATATATATATATATATATATATATATATATATATATGTGTGTGTGTGTGTGTGTGTGTGCGCTTATTATTAGATTTTTTTAAAGGCAGTTTCACCTTGTTAAATGTTGGACCCAGGGCACTATATATAAATAAATAACCTATTCATAATTATATAAAATATATATAAAAAACATAAGATTAATTGAATTATAGTTTTTAAAAAATGTTAATGAAGTTTTTTTACAAGGAAACCTTTTTCTAGTCTGTCTATTTACACAGAAAACAATCTAATTAAATCGATTTTTCAAAGTAAAAATGGTTTCCAATGAATCCCACACCACATTTTTCAATCTAATATAATGTGACCAAACTGGATTACCTAAATTAAACATCTATTGTATTTATGTGACACTTCTAAGATTCCAGCACTTTTTATGTTGCCACCTCACAAGGATGAATCACCTATGCTGTAATTGTCATTAGTGTGTGTGGCTTTGAACAAAACGTGTTAATATATAACTCTCTGGGCCTTCTGTGTCTTCTGTGGCAGTGCTGATGTAACTAAGCTGTAATCACCTGCTCTTTCTGAGATAATTATAAGAAATACTGTAGGTGTAAGTGTTTAAAAGAGGCGTGGAAACTTATCAAAGTCACAGAAACTTCACAGTTCGCTCTCTTGTTTCGTCATGCTATTGTAATGAACTAATATTAGACTGGATGTCGTATTTATTTAAAGACTCATGACTCAGTTGTCCAGACTTAGCTCTCTGCCAACTGTTTGCTATCAAAGTTAAGAAAAATTCTTCATCTGACAGTTTTTTTTGCCTGAATCAGCTCCGATACTGATGTCAGAGATGGTAAAGTACATTCGCTGTTATGTACTGTAAGAGAACTATACAAAATCATTTGAATTAAACTTACTGCTTCATTATACAGTTTAGCTTCAAATGTCAAATGGCAGGAGAAGCTTAGGATTTCTGTTCAGTTGTACAGAATTGATACCAATTGCAAATTATTTGCTTTTTGGGGTAACTGTGTTATATAATATATAGCATATATATTTTTATTAGCTGTGTTTGTGTTTCATTTTGTTTTTGGGTCCCACTTTATAGTATGCGGTCCCACTGTATAGCAAAGGAAGTACCTACTGTTTACTTTGAAGAGGAAATGCAATTGTTTAGTGGTATCGGTAGGTTAAGGGGTAGGGTTACTGTCAACAGTGTAATTATAAATCTATTTAAAGAAATTAATCATAGATGTAATCACATGCAAGTGTTATTATAATGTACAGTGCTCCCTACTCATAGACTTTACTTGGACAGGCCGCCCAGGTATATTAACTGCCGTCCAAGTATATTTAGTGACACATTTTTTTTTTTACTATTATAATCATCCTTTTTACACTTTTTGTTTGTATACCAAAGATATACAAAGATAACCAAATATTCGCGATCAATTAAGTAGAGGAAAATGTTCTCTTGTTTACTCGTGTTGTTCTGTTTGCACGACACCTGTCAACACTTCCACAGACAGTCTCGCGTGCTCTGAAGACCCGCAGAGGAACCCACTGTTTTGGGACTTGAATTCATTTGCGCGGGGTTTCTAAATCTCTGAAAATGTCCGGGATTCGGCTTCTAAATTCGCTTTCTAAAGCTGCCGTTCATTAATTGTTTGCATTTTTGCATGACCTTTTTACTTAAGTCTACTTTGACTTAGCTACACAGATGAATGCACGAGAGATTCACGAGAGAAACATTAAAAAAAATTAATTATTTAATCTAAACGACTCTGAAAACTGGCTGCAAAATATGTTAATTATTATTTATGATTAATCAATGCATTTGCCTTATTCAAATAATCAGACCTGGTAGTTTTTTGCAATTTTGCGATTGCTGAATTCAGTGCAAACTCAACAAAAAGTTGCATTTTTCGTGATTTTGCTAAATTCCTAATTTAAACACAAAATAATCGTAAAAAAATGTAAATACTCTCATAAAACATCCAATTTCAAACCATATAATCAAATTATATATTTTTTCAGTTTGCAGTTAATTGTTTTAAATGACATTGATGTATTTGAGTGTCTCTCGAAAAATGACGTCTCACTTGCGCCCTCACAATAATTACTTTACATGTTAGGGCAGAATTGTTTTGCAGCCTGCACAGTTAGCAGACGCAGATGAAGCGCAAGTAATTTACATGTGGAGTCAATGCAAAGAAGGGATTAAACATTCTGTGGCATAAATTAGGCGTTTGGTGCGTGCTTCAGTGTGCAAAAGAAATTGGGAGCAAACATCTAACAAACGGAGCAATGGAATAGACTAAAAAAACAAGGAGCTTACAATAATGTTGATAATGGGAGTTTAAAATTTATAGGAATTACCTCCACAAAATCACAAAGTAATTTTTATCACAAAAAAATCACAAATAAAAAAATCTTGCAAAAGAGGGTCTGAATAAGCTACACATTTTAATTTTGTAATTATATTTTTAAAGATATTGTCTGTTTTATTCCTTTTTCTGTCATATATTTCTTATCTGCTGTATATTAATTTAATGATGTCAGTATATTACATACATTACATTTTAAATACATATATAAAATACTTTGGCGTTCAAGTTCAATGCTTTGAACTTGAAAGACAGAGAAGCAGATTTTATCTCTCAGTGGGTGCACTTGGGTCCTGAATAGCATAAAAGAAAGACTTTTTTAACAGTCTTTTTTTACTTTAACCCATTGAAAATAAACAGTGTATAACAGTGTCATAATAAATACACCTACTGTTAAAAATTAAATTATGTTTTGTTTGTCACATAGTTAGCTATTTATGTGATGTGTGGGTAAATGGTATTTTTCAATTTGGCTACCACCGCAAGTATATTTGATGTATAATTAAACTATAAAACAATATAAAAACTGAAAGTGAAATGATTAGTCTGAATGTTAGTACATGTTAAATACATGGTAATAAGTGGATCATATTTTTGTCAGTGTTTTGTTGTTTAGTCCTTTTTTCCCTTTTTGTTTTGCTTTATTTTCAGGGTTTTTTTTTCAAGTCTTTTTTGTTTTTGTCTTTCATTTTGTTTTGGTTGTTTTAGTCTCTTGCCTTGTGTTTTTTTTTATTTTACTTTATTTCTCTCATTTGTTTTTGTCTAATATAATTTAGTATTTAGTTTTATATAATATAAACTTATTTTGTCTTGGGGTTTGGTTTGTTTTTTTGTCTTGTTTTGTCTAGTCTTGTTTCTTTTTTTGTGAATTATTATTTAATGTAAAAACAAACATTTAATTATAGCTAGACATTTTAGTTATGCATTTGTTAAAAGATGTTAACGAGTGTAAACATAACGATATATAAGCAGCTACTTGAATGTTCATACAAATTACTGAAGAAATTAACTGTATGGAACAGAGAACTCTACTTGTTGGCTTACTGTCCTGATTGGGAACATCTGCCTTACCTGCAAAAAACAAAACAAAAAAAACTGCAAATTCTTAAGCATTTTAAGACCGCACTCAAAATTTATTGTACTCCATATACTCACATAGTTGCTATTTGATCTTGATTTTGTTTTATGTAGTTAAAGGATGATTCTTTTTATAAGTTTACATTAGTTGAGAAAAAACTGTTTATGTCTGGTATCACTGCTTCTAAAAAAACTAATTTACAGCAATCTTAAAAGATCCTGGCATCTCTCTTTTTGTAACATTGTTTGTTTAGAATGCCGGACTGCAAGGATTAATAAATAAACATAAAGCTTTGAAGCTCAGTGTGCATATTCCTATTATTATCAAACAGTTTTGAAGAGATTATATTGTTATCAGGAAATTTGCAGTTAGTTTCTTCTGACTTTTACAGAGACACAGAACAATGAACGGTGAAAGTCCGCCGGCCATCACCATGGCACTGATTAACCCTCAGGCCTCGCCCATGCCCTCAGAGAGCAAGATGTCTGCAACTCAGCAGCTCTCCATCAGTGTGTAAGTCTCTTTAAAACGTCATTTTTCTTTGCAGAACACTGAAAATATTTTCATGAATTAAAGTGAAAATTGTTTTATTTTGTGCACTGTACACATTTTTTTTTGCCAATATGTATAGAAATTGACTTCTTTGGATTTTACAATTTCATCACGTTTAAATAATCTATTATTATAACCAGTTTTTTTTTTTTGACTTAGGGTGTCAATGGGGTTTTAAAAAGTCTTGCATTTACTGAAATATTGCATTGTAGGTCTTAAATCATTTTAAACTAGTTTTAATTTTCTATGTCCATGTAAAGCTACTTAATTAGGCTGACACCCATCTTATCACAAGCAATCCATCTGAATAAATCTCTTAATTATCTTCCTTTCAATAACATTTATTGATCATAAAACACGGGGACATGGACTGGTGTACAGTTAGTTTATTATATTTTTAAAGCTTGGCAATTTTTTTTAAACAAAAATGACCGTATATTGGAAAACGTGTATACAACTTGCTTTTTTTGACGCATTATTTAAGGTATGTAGCTTATAAATAACTTAAAAATCCTTAGCACTTAGCCCTGTTTAAGTTTGAGATTTCATTCATAGTCTTACATTTTTCCACATAGTTTTTAATTTATTCCTGCAGAAGTGCTGTGACTTGATGAAATGTGTGTCTGTTTAGGTGTGCGGCGCTGTATTCCTACACACCTTATCGCTCTGAAGAGCTGGAACTGAGGAAAGGTGAAATGGTGGGGGTTTATGGGAAATTCAGCGAGGGCTGGCTGCGCGGACTGTCTCTCAAAACTGGCAAAGTAGGAATCCTGCCTACCAACTATGTTACACCAGTGCTCAGGTGAGCAGATGTTCACTTAATAGCATAGACAGGCTACACAAAGTACAGTAGACACTTACTAGCCACTTTATTAGATACAGCCTGCTAGTACCGAACTGGAGCTGAACTACATTGATTCTTGCTGCCAAAGATTACAAAAAGGTTAACGTTTCTCAAAGAGTTTGGTTCATATTGGCATGAGAGCATTACAACAATTCCTGGAGATTTTTCTAGCTGGATTTTTCATGGATGTGAATCTGAATTTGAGTATAGTGAACAAGAAAACAGTTTCAGAAAATGTAATCTTTGTGAAATGCCACGTATCCCACGGGAGGTAATCCTCACAATATTGTTTCACTGTGGTCATAAAGGGATGGACATGGTCAGTAAAAATAGTCAGGCTGGTTTGCTGTTTAAAAGATTCCTGGTCTGTATAAGAGCCTGAATTGCTTTCAGATTGTTTATGAGACTCATCGAACCAGGCAACCTTTTTTTTGTAATGTTCTGTTGTCCAGTTTTGGTGATTTGTAGCCTCGTTTTTGTCACTGGTGTGCTGCTGTAGCTTATCTGCTGCAAGGGTTGTGTGTTTACCTATGCTCTTTTGCAGATCTTGGTTGTTGCAAGTGATTATTCGAGTTACCGTTACATTTCCATTACTGTAGCCGATATAGTCTTGTCATTCTCTTCTTCTTGCATCAAAAAGACATTTTCACCCAAAGAACAGTTTCTCCCTGAAAATGTTCTGTTTTTAACAATTCTTCATCAACCCTAGAAATGATTGTGCATGAAAATCCCTGTAGATCAGCAGTTTCTGAAACGCACAGACATGCCTGGTCACTTTTTCTCAATTTGACAGATCTGCTGTCTTGAAAATACCAGGTTTAAATGCCCCTTGTAATGCATTTGATTGGAATATAAGACAACATCAAAATGTAACTTCTCCCAAACTGTAAAAACAATAAACGTGAGTGTGTTATAGGCTATATGGCATAGTCAGATATAAGCGAAATAATGCAATGTACACAGATTAAACAGATGACAGCTTAGGATGTTAGTTTCATTTTATTTTTTGCTTCATTGTATTTTTGAGTGGTCATTAACTTTTAACCAATAAGAATAATTAGAAATAATTAGAATGTTAAATTAATATCACATGGCAGCTTTAACAACTGATGCATCACACACCTACATAGAAAAAAAAGAGTTAACAAGTTTCTTTCATTTAGAAAGGCCTAATGTTTATTATTATTATTATTTTTTTTGGAAGAGTGTTGATAGATACTTAGTCTATATTTGCTTTTTTCAATATTGTTCTTTGCTGAATACCGATAAATGTGAAAGTGTTTCTTAACATCTTAAATTTGACTGACCTGTTTTCCTTAATGCAGTTTAGACCGGTATGTTGCAGATATTTTAAACACATGCAGCAGCCATTTCAAAAATTGCTTGGAAAAAAGCCAAACTGCTGCAATTAAAATAAGTCACAGGAGCTCACAATAACAATAGCTAAATAAAATGTGGCAAATCTGTGAGTACATTTGCATAGTGTGTGAGAATTGAAGATCAGATTAACATCCATTTATCTGAAAACCATTTTTTGTGGCCAATTGTAAAAAGAACCATTTTCAAAGATCAGAGAACTATTACATTTACATTTAGTCATTTAGCAGACGCTTTTATCCAAAGCGACTTACAAATGAGGACAAGGAAGCAATTTACACAACTATAAGAGCAACAATGAATAAGTGCTATAGGCAAGTTTCAGGTCTGTAAAGTCTAAGAAGGAAAGCATCAGTACATTTTTTATTTATTTATTTATTTTTTGAGTACAGTTAGTGGTATATCCAGAGAGGCAATTGCAGATTAGCAAGTGAAGTGGAGACTTAATAGTTGAGTTTTTAGTCGTTTCTTGAAAACAGCGAGTGACTCCGCCATTCTGATGCAGTTACGGAGTTCATTCCACTAACTGGGCAGATTGAACGCGAGCGTTCGGGAAAATGATTTCTTCCCTCTTTGGGATGGAACCTCGAGGCGACGTTCATTCACAGAACGCAAGTTTCTGGAGGGCACATAGATCTAGATCTATTAGAGAAAAGACATGAAGTGAGCAGGTGTAAATAGACCCCTACATGGGTTTCAGCCATAATATTGACTGATTAGATCTTTGTTTTAGCAAGCAGTTGAGCAGGTGTACCTAATAAAGTGGCCTTCACGTGTAACTAACAATACTAATTTCTTTTCTTCTTTATATTACAGTTTAATATGTCACACACAATGTTAGAAAATGTAGATATGTACTCTTCAAATGAGCTTCTTGATGTATAGATGTATTTTAAAAAGAACAGCAGAGTGCAATGTTCAGCCCAGGCTCATTGGAAATGCACGTCTCCTTGTCATACAAATAATTTAGATTCCATTTTGATTATAATTCATAGACATCGTTCAGTTGTTTTGTGGTATTCATTTGTTGTGCAAAGAAATGCATAAAAGTATTATTTTAATCATTGATAATAACAAAAGTTGTTGGCATCATACTGCCCCACAGCGTTTGTTATGAATGGAAACTGCAGTCAAACATATTGTCACCTTAGAATTGAAAGGTTCCACCTGACATTTTTGTCAAAATTGAGTTATTGACATATTCTTATTAATTGACAACTTATTTACATTATGGAATGTTTTTGTATAAGTGGTTTACATTTTAAGACTTTTTATTTAAAAAACAAATGTTATACACATACTGTTTACTATGAAATGCAAAAACTTTGAAGCTCAATATCTCAAAATCATTCAGAACGCAGACAGAACCTTATAATTCCAAGGTGACGGTATGCTGAAGTAGGTTTTTGTGGTTTCACAAATATGTAAGCTGAAGCATGAATTTCCAATGAGCCCGTGCGGGCAATGATTCATTGGAGTATTTTAGAAAGTAATGTACTGACTTTCCCACAGAACATCAGCAAGGTTTCTCGAACAAAGCAAACCTGCCATTCCTAATTCAAGTGCAGTGTCAACAAAGCGCCACGCCTCACACAAGCCGCAGGCTGTTGTTCTGGCCCTCGACAGGGTAAACACTGACAGCCCTTCAGCTACAATGCCTGTGACGTCATCTGCCGGTCCAGGAAGAGCAGCACAGCTGGGCGGAAAGCAGGGCTGGAGCTCAGTGAGACGCTCCTTTCATGCCACACATAGGGGTGAGAGAGAACATGCCCTAGCATGATTTGACCACAGAAGTCTAAGGCCCCGTTTACACTAATGCGTTTTAGTTTGAAAACGCATAAGTTTTGCTACGGTTACGCCATCCGTCCACACTACGCCGGAGTTCTCGAGCGCCGAAAACGGAGCTTTTTGAAAACGCTGGAGAGGCCGTTTTCATTCTGAAACGCTGCTGCTCCGTCTCAGTGTGGATGGGGAAAGACGGAGACATCTGAAAACGGAGGCGGGGCTGCAAACGTTCGCCTATCTGATTGGGGCTTTTCCTCAATATTAAGTAGCCCACACACAGTTCAGTCTCGCATCCTCTTCTTGTAAGTTCAGACTTCGCAAGTTTGATCAAGGCTGCAGTCTCCCCCTTCTCATAGGGAGAATATCACATATCACATCAGTTTGATATGGAAAACATACCGAGGACACGGGTAAATCTTCAAAGGGAACAGTGTACTTTATAACTTCATTCACATCACCTTGGCTACGTTGTTTCACTTTCTCAACATTAAAATGTAAACATGATTTAAGGAACTGCCTATTTTCTTTTTAATATTAGCAACTTAACAGACAGCAGAAATGTTGAGGCGTCGTGCTGCATATATGAGCGTCATCTTCACTGTGTGGATATTTATAACAAAACGGAGCCTATGACAACTGCCTCCTTTCAATTTCAGTGAAAATACGAAACGCACCCTCTCTTTTGCTGAATATCAGTTTTAATAATCGCTAATTATAAAAGTATAACATACAATAAGTTTATACATTGTAGGAAATAAAGGCAAGCGATCAGTCAATGTACCTGGATTAATCATTAACTTATCTTTGCGCTTAACCAAAACATGTTACCCGTGAACAAGTAACTTAATAGATTCCAATGACCAAAGTCAGGAAATTGGCCTATGTCGTTAGATAAAGACAACAACATGAATGAAATATCACGTTTAGCAAATATAGTCAGATTAGATCACGCGGGAGATGCGTGATGAGCAGTCCGACAAGCAGAGCTCTCATCTGGGTAGAAATGCTGGAGTGCTTGCCGAGAGTGTGTGTGTGGTCACGTGATGTGCGTTTTCAGCGTTTTGGTGTGGACGGAGAGCAGTTCAGAAACGCTGGGTAAAACGCGAGTGTGGACGCGGATCGTTTTCATTCTACAACGCCGTTTTAAAACTAAAACGCACTAGTGTAAACGGGGCCTAAATGTAGCCACTGCAACTGCTCTAAAATCACACTTGTAATTGCTTTTGCACATTTTAGCTTTTTAAGTCTGTGTCTGTCAAAAGTTTAAGCTATAATTATGATTATTTTATGCTCAATGAGGCTGTTTTATTGATGGAAAATAGTTGTAATATAGTGTTATATGTTGTAATATATTTCTTTTTATTCATTCATTTTCTTTTCGGCTTAGTCCCTTTATAAATCAGGTGTCGCCACAGTGGAATGAACCACTTACTTATATTGATTTTAAAGTGCTGCATTTTTAGCATCATCACTGCTTTATTCAGTGTTACATGATCCTTCTGAAGGCATTCTAATCTGATTTGCTGCTCAATAAATATTTCTCAACAGTTGATTAATATTTTAGTGCTAACACATAATGCACTTTCTCTATAAAGCTTAGTGTTAACATTCATAAAGAATTACCTAAATTTGTTAGCAAGCTTTAAAAACATCAAATGTTATTACAGTATTTATTAGAATAACAGTTAATTTAGGTTATATGTAATTGTACATTTACTAATATATTACTAAAACTTTAATTATATGATACAAATAATAAAGCAATGAAAATTTGTATTTTTCCTTGCTAACATTAACAATGATTATTAAATATTGCAAATTCAGTTTTTTTTTAATTGTTTCAATCTGAACATACATTACAAACAGATTACTACAATATGCAATATTACAATGTCATCTCAAGCTTAAGTTACAATATAGGCAAACACAATATTAAATACAGCAAAACGCTATTTCCTCATTGTTGGTGGACACAAATGTTACATTTTAATATTAGCAAATGAGATCGTTTATGATAACTTTTAGTTTTTAATTATTATTTATTCAGCAAGGATGCATTGACAAGCAACAAATCAACATATTCATGACGGTTCATGTCGCTTTGAAGAGTGAAGTAATGAATAAAATTCTGATTTGTCTTAACAGGATGAAATTACATTTTGTCATATAATAAATTAGTGGTACTTAATTCCTTTTTTTTTTTCATTTTCATTAAGTAAATGCCTTGCTGATCAAAAATCTCAACAAGCAACAAAAAGCCTAATTACTCAAAAATTGATTGTAACTGGATCTGTGCTGTTTTACATAATACATTTTCATTTCATTTTCTGTATAATTTTTAAAAAATGACAAAATTTGATGATATATTACAATACTAATTTTAAGTATTTTTTGTCGTCAGAAAGAATTTGCGTGGGTAGTTTGTCTTTTGCAGCAGGGTTTTTTTTTTTTTTTTGCTCAATGCGATTCACTAATTAACTTCTGCTTGGCCTTTTATTTAGGACTGCCTCACCATGGAAGCTACAACTCAAACTCTATCCTAAGCCTGCAGCCTCCACCTCAGGACTTGGGGCAGATCTACACTTTCGGTCGCTCACCTGTTCTTCCTAAAAAGAGAAATGGTTTATTCTCCAACCCCATGAAGGCACAGCATTGGGCTTATGAAACAACATCTCCCTCTGCTGGTGCTTATCAACCCATCATCAACCCTGGCCAGAAGGAGACCACCACAACTCGGCAGTCTATTCTGGTTAAACCAGATGCTTACAAGAACAATGCAGAGAAGGTAAAAAAACACTTTTAGCAATAAAGGTAGATGACTTAAATAGTAAAGTTAAATGTTTTTTTTATGCATAAAGAGATAGTTTACCCTCAAATATAAATTTACTTTTAAATTACACACACTCAAGTCAAACCTTTGTGTCTCTTTTTTTTGATAATATTTTGTAGAACAGGTAACCATTGACTTCAATAGTAGGAAAACAACTACCGTACCATGGAAGTTAATGATTACTGATTTTTAACCAGTATGGGTTTTTAAACAGGTGTGTGACAAGTAAAGGGTGAGTGAAGGATGAGGGGTGAACTATCCCTTTAAGAACAAAATTAACAAAAATAAAAATATTATAATAAGGAGAATAATAAAGAAAGAATAAATTAATTGTACAATTATCAGATAAAACATCATTTCAGATAATCAGTATGAAAAATAGCCCATTATTTTATTTTATAAAAAAAAACTATTCGAGTAAAAAGTTTGAATTCATTTTTGTTTTTCGATTTTCCATTTTCATTTTATTATCATCTGTGTGTTTTTGTCATTTTTTTTTCATTTAAACATGTCTATTATGATTAACTAATGTGTAATGTTAATTTTAGCTTGTTTAAATTTACATTATATATATTTAAATTTACATTATATATTATATAACTTAATTGGCATGTTAAAAAGAAAAAACTAATAAAAATGACAAAAACAAAGCAGCAGCAAAAAACCAAAAAAAAAAAAAACCACAGAACCACACATCAGATAACTCAATCCATCAAATTGCAAAACAGGAGGCAGAAAACACACACACATTATTCCATTTTGATATTAGTGTTTTAGTAATCTGGTTGTGTTTTGGTCACAGGGGGGTTTGGGTAGTTCGAAAGATCCACCCCTCACTAAAAAGGTCCAGAATTTGTCCCATAGATAAGCTCTTTGTCCTATTTTGACTGTTATTCCATAATAAATTCTGAAAATAACCCATCAAAAAAGGCTTTAAGACTTTAAGAATCTTGTGTTCCTGTTCTAAAGGTCACACCATGCCGAATTTGGCATCACAAATTATAACTAAGGAAAATTGAATGTGCTGGCCAGTGTTATTTGCCTAATAAATTTAAAACTTTAACAGATTCTTATTTTTGTATTTTAAAAACAAGTATTGTTTTTCTCTATTCTAAACCTTTCGGAAATGCTTTTGGTAGATTAAAAAGTGCGGTTATGATGACCATCTGACAAGCTTTTTTTGCTACAAAAATAGTACTTGAAATGTCATTAACATGCAGTATTTAAACCTTCTAATTAAATTGAAAATGAGGCGAACGGGCTGGCTACGGGCCTGTGTCATATTAATCAGCTTATTTATAAAAATCAGATTTACTACTATGCAGCACTACATCCTTACACTGCAATACCTGAAGTGAAATGAGGTGAGATGAATATTGTCAAGTATGGTTAACCATACTCAAAATTGGTCTTCTGATTTTGACCCATCCAAGTGCACACACACAAGTGAGAAGTGAGAGCACACACACACACACACACACAGACTCGAAGCAGTGGGTAGCTATTGCTTCCACTGTCTGGGGAGCAATTAGGGGTTAGGTGCCTCAGCTGGGTAACGAAGAGGGAGAGACTGCAGTTTATTCACTCCACCTACTGGGACCAGGAATCAAACCTGCAGCCTTTCAGCTGAAAGTTCAACTCCCTAGCCCTTTAGGCCACAACTGCCCCACCATCAAATTCCTTACTCTCAAATATTCAAATGAATAGCATCTCCATTAAGAAGGCCGCCAGTTCGAGCCCCGGCTGGGTCAGTTGGCGTATCTCTGTGGAGTTTGCATGTTCTCCCTGTGTTCGTGTGGGTTTCCTCAGAGTGCTCTGATATCAAAGTCCAAAGACATGCAACAGAGGTGAATTGAATAAACTAAATTGTCCGTAGTGTATGTGTGTGAATGCGAGTGTGTATGGGTGTTTCCCAGTACTGGGTTGCAGCTGGAAGGGCATCTGTTGCATAAAACATATACTGGATAAGCTGGTGGTTCATTCAACTGTGGCAACCACTGGTAAATAAAGGGGCTAAGCCAAAGGGAAATGAATGAATGAACGAACGAACGAACGTCTGCATGCTTTTACTGAATTGTTGTATTCTGCTGTTCTTTCAGCCAGTGAAGTCAGTGCGGTTCCTGGCTCATGACACTCCTCAGACAGCACCAAAAACGCCGTCCACTTCCACTGCAGGATTAAGCTCTAGTTCTCAGCCTGGCTTTTCAACTCTGGACCACTGGAATCCCTCGGCCATACTGGGTCGAGATGGACATACATTAGTCCTCAAAGACACAAAAACCCCTCCAGCCAGAAAGAGCACAGGCCAAGATCATGCTGCTATGGACTCCCTCGCGCTAAATATGAAGCCAGTACTGATCAACAACCAATCCGGCTCCAGTAGGTGCGTATGTCTTTAAGAGGAAGTATTGTGTTATCTGATCTAGTAGATAGTCTGTGGAAATTTACCTAGAAACCTATCTGAAAATTGGCAGATTTATTGAGATAAAGCACTTAAACTGCTTTTTAACGAAAACATTTCCTGTCATAATCTGAAAGGGAAACTGAGCCATGATCTAGAACTTACTGGCATTATAAATATAGTGCATCCTGACTGCCTAATGCTTTTTTTTTCCAGATGTAGGGTAATTAAGGGATACAACGCCAAAACAGATGCAGAGCTCACGCTCACTGAAGGAGAAATGGTCCTGGTTCAGAGGCCTCGAGCAGACGGAAGAGTTCTGGTGACGCAGGAGATCAGTGGAAAAACAGGCCTTTTCCAAAGCAGCGTTCTGGAACTGCTAGACAAAATCCTTTGAGTGCCACAGTTTCTGCTGTTGTGTGCTTGCCCTTTGACCAGTGCTGTGTTTAGGGTCACACTCTCATAACCTCTTGTGTAATAAACCAAAAGCAATATCTTGTAGGGTATGACAGGTCATCCACACCCACCTTGCACAAAAACTTGTCATTTTTTCCTTCATAATCGGTCGATTCAGACAGATAAATGTGCCTTTATGTTGTGTCACTGTTTGCACTTTTGGATAGGGTGAGGGTGGGGAAAGTTTTGGGAAATTATGAATAGCTATGACTGTTGGGTAAATGGAGGATGAGTGATGACTTAAGGCCTGTTCATATCAAGAATGATAACTGTAAAGGTAATGTATTAATATTTTTGCATTCACATCAATATCATATACAATCTGGTTCTATTTATTCAAAATGAATGCTGTTTGAGGTCTTTAAAATAAGACTGATTCTGACTGGCTGTCAAAAAAAGTTTACCCCAAACTGAAAAAGTCTGACATCATTTACTCACAAACCTGGGGTCTGTTCTTTGTACGTAGATTACTCAGTTAGCTGGATTTAGTTATTGATGATTTGACACGATCCAGGATGGTAAAGTCTAGATGTGATATGCACATAAATATAGCAACATTTTTTATGACACTGTACAACAATAATTCATATTTTTACATTACAGTGACGATTGGGTTTAGGGTTGGGGTGGGGGTAGGCGTTGAAAAATAAAATTTATTGGGTAATTTAATAGCATAAATAATGCTCCGTACAACTACTATTTTTACATTACTATAACTGTTGGGTTTAGTGTTGGGGTGGGGGTAGCAACAGGTCTGGTAGCACAAACCTGCTCAGGAGCAGGCTTATTTCATATGAACAGGATTAGATCGACTCATTTCAAGCAAAGGTAATACTAAAAGTATGTACCGAATGCTGATATTTTCTCACAGTAGTAGTTGTATACACTTGGGAAAATAATAAATAGTTTAAAAAAATTGTGTAAAGTTAAAAAAATGTATATAAATAAAACTTGTGCAATCTGCACTACAAAATAATAAAAAATGTCATAGGGTGGTTCTCCCCAACAGGTTCAAAGAAAACATTATAATAGACTTTTTAGACTCAAACACATACAATTTTGTCTACCGGCTTTAGTACAACTTGTGTATGATGTAGACATGCATAATATTCTACAGCTTTTTTAAAAGAATGATAATTTATGCATTCATTGTTTTGACAGCTAATATGGGGGTGTTTTGATACTGATTTCAAAATGCATTTTTGACGCAAAATTAAGTTAAACAGCCAGTTATTCCTTACGCCGATTAAGAAAATTGATTAGACCTAGGCTACTATAATAAAGAAAATCTGCTCTAAATGAAAAACTAAATAAATTGCTGAATACTCTTGGCACATGAAAGTGTAAAGCCAGCAGCTTTGTTTGAAGAACCAAATTAGCCAGAGATCAGTTATCAAAATTAAAAGATCCAGGATCTGAAAAATTGTATTAGATCGTGTAAGCAAGATACGAAGAACAGACCCCTGTTTTTTGTTGTTGTTGAACAGTAAACATTGACATCCATAGTATTTGCTTTTCTTATTATGGATGTCAGTGGTTACAGCTCCCAACTGAAAAAAAAAAACTGATAAGGTTTGGAACCCCTTGATTGTGAGTAAATAGTGAGTAAATTTTTTGTTTTGGTTGAACTAGCCCTTTAATGTTTTTCAGCAATTATTAGCTCTAACAAAAGTCCCAAATGGTACTTTAAACCCTTGTGGTCTTCATCTGAGTCTGCATTTTCAGAGCTTAAAGTTCATGTGAAATCAGAATGTACAATGTTTATGTTGCTAGCGCACATTGTTATTCTTTAGGTGATCAATTAATCCATGCAAGATAATCCACTGAAAAAAAAAATGTTTATGTAATCTTGAATCAAAGTCTGAGCATTTATTTCTGCATTTGGAGTGGCAATCCTTCTCTGTTGACGTCAGTTTGATGGCTTCAGCCACAATATTCTTAACCACGCACCTCTAACCGTTACTTTGCCATGAGGGAATAATGTGCAAAAAGAAATCCCCGCCCCCTACTTAAGTAGTAGTTTGTATGTTCAAGCCACACCCCTTACTCAAAGTAGTTTATATGTGCAGTCAAAAGCACAGCGTTTCTAGGTACAATTTTTAATAAGTTAAAAACGTATCCATCCAGTGTTTTCATATTCTCTCTTCAGAAGTTACAATTTATACAATATGGATTTTAAAAAAAGATCTGTGCAGATCTATATAATCCCTTAGCATCTTTACTTTTCATCTTTTTGACATCTTGAAGTTTGTTATGTTTTTTTTTTCTTTTTTTAGACTTTGAAACAACATTCTGGCTCAGTGTTGACACCATGTGGCTAAAAGATGTTTCTAATTGTTGTGTGAGCTGTACATTTTGTTCTGTCGACTAAGTTTGTACACAGCTTAATGTAAATGGAGCATCATGTATATTTAAAATCAAAGATAATTTGGGCTTTAATCGATCCATGTGCACAGTGCGAGTGTTAATTGTCCTTTTACACTGAGCTAAGTTAAACTTTGCTAATGTTTAACACGGTGACACTCTTAAATCAAAAATAAAAGATCCAAATTTAGCTGTACACACTAAGCATAATCAGTTGTGGTTTAAAAAAAAAAGAGCATAGTGGAATGTATAGATTTTTCTTTTAACACCCCACCACTGTGCATTGAAACAACGGCCATCCAGTTATGGGGCTGTCCTTGTCTTTTTTGAGAATGTTGAAATCACAGTGTCAACAAAAATCTTAAAAAGAATATGTCCTGTGGTAAGGCATTGCAGAGAAAATGGGATTCAATAGCAAACTTCAAGTACAAATGAAGTGTGCCATTTGAGATCGGGCCAATATCATTCCACTGTGTCTTTATCATTATAGTCATGTCGATTCTCAAAATTGTCCTGAGAGAATGTTGTTGTATAGTTTTAGGACAACATTGGTGGTGCAATGTTTTGATCCAATTCAGACAACTATTGCACTTTAATACAACAGTTATTGTTCATGATGTGAATGGGCCTTTACATAAGATTGTCTTTTACGCACAAATTCCTGATGTCTCAAAACAGTAAAAGTGGAAATGTTTTGTTGTGTGAAACATCATAGCAAATACAGTATATCCTGACAACTGTATTCTATAACTTTCCTGTTTTCAGTTCCTATTTTATTTCATTTTTTATTTTGGAATTTTGGGAAAGTTATTACTCTAAACCTAAACTAATAAAAAGCAACAAAACACATTTCAGAATCCACTCTGTTTATTAACATTAATGTGTGTGTGTGTGTGTGTGTGTAAGCCTATACAACAGAATCACGCTGAGGAAATTATTTCTTTTTAGTGCATTGATCCACTGATTAATATTAACGAGGCATACCAGAAACATTTGTCTCTGAAATAATAACATAAATACAGTGGGGAAAAAAGGATTTTATCAAAAAAAAAAATCTTAAATGGACTGATGGTTGATTCCTGTGAATTGTTCTGTAGAGGAATGTGCCATTCATTCATACTCATTTGGTGACGTCATTTGATGGAGTAGAAGCTGACAGTGATCAAGGATGCAATTTATCATCGATTTTTATGATTTTATGCTTTGTTTTGTAGGATTTGTTTGAAGGAGGACAAGCTTAAGTTAGACCCTGTTACGTTTTTTTTATTAGTGAACATGTATATGTTTTTGAAAGAATGTCTCTATTAATAATAACTAATTTATAGATGGGAAAAAGATAAAGCATTAAACTACCAATATCTTTAATAAATCACAAAACAAATTGTTAACATGTATATATGTTAAGAGGGAAAACGTATCAATAACATCAAAACAACACAAATGGTGTACGTGGATAAATAGAAGGGCGCCGTATTAAATTCATTTTTTATCTGCATCAGATATGAAATGAGAGACTTAAATTCAATAAGAAAAAATGAAAGAGGTTAAACGTGGATAAACACAAATATGTATATCCCGAGGTGAAGTCAGGATCGCGGATATCCGCGCATGTCCAGTTACAGAGGGCAGGTTGGGATGGGCGCTTGAGCTGGAAAAATACATCATCCACCCGAATGAGCTCATCGGTTATCATTTCAAACACACAAAAAAACGTTTATTTGGGTCTCAAAAAAGGCTCACAAACCCGCGTCTGATAATGCCGGTAAGACTGTCATTTCTTATCTTCATTTATCATTATAATATGTGTTGTTATGCCCCACCTTCCCGTCATTCCTTTGCTTGCAACCGGAATTTCATGCAAATATTCACAGACTGTTATTTGACAGGCTTTTATGCCTTGCGTTTTACTACTATTGTTCCGTTTTATGATGCGTTTAATTGTTACGAGATGATTTTGTTCTTCCAATGGCCAGAAAGGTTTTGTGCACCTCAAGCTAGCAGCCTGCTAACGTTAACGTTAGTTATTAGCTTCGCCGCAAGCTCGTGGGCTTTAACGATATTTAAATTTATCAACGAGCCAGATTTACTTTTAGACTCATTTGAAATTGATTCAGGCAAGATTACTACAGCCCACAAGCTGTGTTATCTGTGAAAAAATGAACGTGTTTTTTTGTTGTCTGTTAAATTAGCTGTTAGCAGGCCGGGCGGTCTAACCCGCTGCTTAGCAACAGCTTTGAATCCACATCACCTATTTAATACACAAACAGCCAGTGACCTTTATTGTACAAGAGAACCCATATAGCTTATATGTTACAGTCTATGCTTACAACAAATGTAATAATTATAAATCTCTTCTTTCAACGAGCATGATCAATTGTAATGATACATTTAAATTAATTTTCTTTAAATGAAATAACATTTTGTCATCCTAAATTACACTCAAATATTAATTTGACACTTTTATTATGAAGGTTAACGACTTACTTAAAACTTACTTAAAAACTTACTTGCTGTAGCATATTCTTCCATTACATTATTTTTGTGAACAGGAGAAAACGTCATAATTGTCATACAAAATAGAAAGAAATAAAGTGAATATTATATTTCATAATCATAATTCTGACTATTCAGAAAGACAGACTTTTAAACTTAATTTTATGGCAGCAGCAAACTTCTACACACAGCTAGGGAGAAACATTTAGCGTAAATAAGTAATCTATATAGGCGACGTGATGGCGCAGTAGGTAGTGCTGTTGCCTCACAGCAAGAAGGTTCGAG